TACTTAAAAATGAGATTCGATTCGTCCGTTGCTATTGGATCGTGCGTGGCAGCTGTTATTCCAATTTGGTAAGTCCGCTAAGTCGTGGCTGTTCTTTTAAGATGAATAATAAAAAAGAATAAGAGAACTAGATTCGTAAACTGAAACTAAGGACGAGGATCTGGGTGACTGACAAATGTTCCCTCATTCGACTCACTATCTTTTTATATTATTTTTTTAGCCTTCGCTCAGGTAGGTCTTTCTTTTCCCAAGCACAAAAAATTCGCGCGGTCGATTATATTGCATTCCTCTCCCTTCGGTCGAGTATATTGCATTTCTCTTCCTTCGGTGGAGCATATTTTACCCCTTTGGTCGAGCATATTGCATAACCATCTTTCACGAAGAGAAAAATGCATCTACCAACAATCACTTCTTATGAAAGTCTTAGGTTAGGCACAAATGCTGTCCTCTCAATAGAATCTTAGGCATGTGGAAACCCTCATTGAATGTTGAACTCATTGACCTGGGGTCAAACTGCGAATGGAGAAGGAGAGGTTAGAGCTCGACCAACGGGGAGAGGGGAGAGGAGTTAACTGCATTTTCATCCGAAAGCATTCCGTCCGAGCTGGCTCTTGCAAAGTAAATCGATACATTTTTATCTCCCCGACGATTTTTGCTTCCTTGCCTTGGTGTCTTCTACGCGAATACGCCATGCTACCATCAGTATCAAAGCTAAGCGCTCCTAAGTTCGAAGCGAAGGCATAGGGGTTGGGGGGTTGGGAGAAGAAAGCGCATTGCGTAATTCGTAAAGCTGCCGGGTGCTCTGAGTGCGCATTCTCACCCAATATGTCGATCATCCTTTTGACCATCAAATAAGGCAGATGACATATCAGGAAGATCCTTATTCCATTCTGTGAATACTGAATCGCAACGGTCAACTTTTGGGATGTAGCATTTCCCCCAATTCCAAGGAGGGGGGAGCTTGGCACGCCCACGCAGTAGGGGGAAGAGGGGTCAATATTTTGTCTTTAAGTTCTTCACTTTGCTTGGACCAAGGAGAAACCTCTGTTTGGTTTCTTGTGAGTCGAATGAATGAACAAGGTGTCAACACTGTCGGTTTAGAAAAGCTCGAAGCTTTTAATCCCCTTGCTCTGCCCCCTGGATTGACAACATCATCCAGCTTTTCCTTGACAAAATGGTCGCAGACTTCGTGTACCAGAGGTTTTGAACGGGAACTATGGTTTCAGAGTTTCATTGACGGCTCGGGACATACACACACACATATACTATATGTTAGGTGATCTAACCGTTAGATGTACTTAGATGAGCTCCGGCCGATCTCAACAGTCAATTTTTGTTTTTCATTAAATCAAACTTCGGGTTGGGGTAAAAAAATCGGTGCTTGGGGTTCATCCATTATCGGTTAGGGTATAGTATCATACCCCAAACTCAATTTAATTTATGGTCTAGATAGATATATCTCACTAGTAGTACCTGACGTATAGTTACGCCTGACGTAAAATGAGCCAAATACAAAATGGGCTAAAACTCATTAGACAAATGATAACTCAATGTCTAACAGCCTTCCCAAATTTATGTCGATTACGAAGTATCAATTTGCTAGAGAAGTACCAATACCGACTATTGACGAACGACTTTGTAAAGATATCTGCAATATTACCTCCGGCCCTAATGTAATGGAGATTAGTGGAGCCATCACATGCCAATACGTAGTGAATATGAAGTTCGGGATTTTTCCAGAAATAGCACTGTTTAAAAAAAAAATCCACAAATAGCACCCAACTCCAAAAAATTCCAAAAGTAGTACCCTTTCCCAAAAACTGCAACCCGTACCAGCGGTTTAGGCGAAAACCGCCACCCGGGGCGCGTTTTTCGATGAAAACCGCACTAGTAGGGGGCGTTTCGCAAACCGCATGGGGTCGTGGTTGTTTGGTTGCAAACCGCACCCCCACCATGCGGTCTGGTTTTTTTATTTTTTTTTGAAAAATCCTAACCTAGGTGGAAACTTCAAACGAACGTATCTTTGTGTTCGGGTATCCGATCGTCGTGATTTTTATTTCGCATAACTTTTCGAGATCTTGCAAGCCGAAGACTAGTGAAGGTGGTTTGGTCCCGGCTTCGTCCCGAAAAAATGTCGTTTGCTACCCCGAATGAGCTTTTTTTCCGATTTCGTCAAACTTTGGACAACCATAACTTTGTGCTCCAAAATCCAAACGGCATGAATTTTTTTTTATTTCGCATAAATTTTTAAGGAATACAACTTTTATCATAGACATAATTTCAAAATGTACGTGGATTGCTGAAAAGGGAAGGTAAGCTATTCCCAAAATCCTCTATATAAAAAAATAATTCCTGTTTTGAAAATTCATTCCTAGTAAAAATTGTAGTGCTTAAAAAGTTATGCGAAATGAAAAAAAAAATTCATGAAGTTCGGATTTTGGAGCTCAATAACTTTAAACAACCATAACTTTGTGCTCCAAAATCCGAACATACATTTCGAAAATATTGCGCCTGCTTTTTGGATATACAAGATTTGGGAATAGCTTACCTTCCCTTTTCAGCAATCCACGTACATTTCGAAACTATGTCTATGATAAAAGTTGTATTCCTTAATAATTTATGCGAAATAAAAAAAATTCATGCCGTTTGGATTTTGGAGCACAAATTTATGGTTGTCCAAAGTTTGACGAAATTAGAAAAAAGCTCCTTCGGGGTAGCAAACGACATTTTTTGGGACGAAGGCGGGACCAAACCACCTTCGGCAGTCTTCGGCTTGCAAGTTCTCAAAAAGTTATGCGGAATGGGTTCAATGTTATTGGACAAAGCAAGAATACGAAAGAGAGACAGTTTCACTAACACGATGTGTGTTAGCTACGTCCACGGGCGAGAGAGAGACAGTTTCACTATATCGAGGAGATTACAGATTACAGAGGAGTATGAGAAGTATTTATAGTACTTCTCCATGTGGGTCTAAACCTAATCTAATCTGACAAAGGAAACGGTTACAGACCAGGCCCAGAACCCGAACCCAAATAACATTGAGCCCATACACCGTCGTTCTCTAGTCTTGCGCTGTCGTTGGGCTTGGCGGGCCACTTTTGGCCGAGCTCTTAACCACTGCGATATCGTTTTTAATCAAACGATATCGTTTATGATACCGCGATGTCGTTGATACCTCCTGCGGCATCGTTTAATCTTTCCGCGGCATCGTTTTTCACTAATCGATGCCGACCTTGAACTGCTCCGTCCCGGTCCCATCAAACAATGTCGTTTTCATTCCACGACATTGTTTTCTACCAAACGGTACCGTTTTTCTTGTCTTGTGGTGTCGTTGAGCTTGCCGGGTCACTCGCCAAAATCCAAACCATCGTGGTATGGTTTTTAACAAAACGACATCGCTTAGTAATACTACGGCGTTGTTGATGCCTTAAACGGTGCCGTTTTTAGCTAAACAACACCGCTTGATTATACCCGCGACATCGTTTTCAAATCCGCGGTGTCGTTTCTTTCCTCTTGCGGCATCGTTTTCAACTAAACGACACCGTCCTAAACAGCCATTAAAATATTAATTAATTAATTAACCCGTCCATCACTAGCTATGGCCAACGACATCACTAGCGCCATAACAACTCCGTTGTTTGCTTTTCCTTTCTGCGACACTGTTTCTTATTTAAACACTGTCGTTTGCTAGTCCGCGGTACCGTTGGGCTTACTCGCGGTACCGTTTTGAATTAAACGACATCGCCGATATAGCTAAAAAATATTAATCCATGGAACCGCCGCAGTCGGCGCTCTCATTGGGCCGGGCGAATTTTGGTCACTTGCCCAATATGATTTTTAATTAATCGGTACCGCTTACCAGACTTTCGCGGTACCGTTTTTAAAGCCGCGGTACCGTTTTAACTCTTCGCGATACCGCTTATCTCCATGCGGTACCGATTTTCCCCTTCCAACTAGGAATAAAAATATTAATTAATTATAAACAAAACTCCTTCCCCAACACCTACACTGCGCGGCCCCTCTCCAGTTCCGCGGTACCGCCCAGCTTCCTCGCGGCTCCGATTTTCTATTTCGCGGTACCGTTTTAATTCCCCACGGTACCGCTTAATAAAAATAATAATTCAATAATCAAAACTCCTCCTCCTTCATTAAACGCGCGACCTTCTTTTATTTTCATCAAGCGGTGCCGTTTTCCATGCCGCGGTACCGCAGAGCTTCCTTGCGGTACCGTCTTTCTGTTTCGCGGTACCGTTTTAACTCTCCGCGGTGCCGCTCGACTCCAAACGACACCGTTTTTTACCCACGGTATCGAATTAAATGCCGAGACTAATTAATGCGGCATTTAATTCGGGCCAAATTAATTTTAGGTGTCAACACAATTTTTTGTAAATGTTGTTGAAAGTTGCTGTGTGGGTTCAATTGGTTACAATGGATGGGATTGGCAGAAACAGGCATGAAGTTTCCGCGGGCTATTTCACTGGGTTTCCTTGGTACAAGTTCTCAAGATACTCCAAATGTTTATAGCATGATGTAAAGCACCTACCTTGATCAATAAATGCATTGTGGGTTCAATTGCCACGCTCCATTACCGTGTTGTTGAATTTGATGAGGGTTTAGTAACAAGATGTATAGGCTATGGCGATGGTATGTCCGATGAGAGTGCATAAATTCTCTATCTTGTACTAGATACGGCATTTGGCAGAACGACTGATTTCATTGATTGTGATTTGGCTAATAGCCTAAACCATCATCAAATTTGTCGGTTACCCAGTATACCAGGGTTTTTGAAGGCATTTGCACCAATTAGACAGACTTATTGCTATAAATCTGGCAACTGGGTGACGGTTTGGCTTGAGAGAGTTTAAAGTCTCTCCTTTTTCATCTAGTTTGCAGTGGCTTGATGGGTAAATTTGCTAGTAACTGCTTGGGTCTAAACTTTTACTCTGATTACCACCCGTTTACTTATCAATTTGGTTCATATGTTCGTAACTGGCTTACAGCTGAAGAGGTTGATCTCTCCCAGGACATGCGGGATTGGGAAACATCGTCTGGTTCAGAGAAGCACTTTATCAGTCATGTGCTGGCGTTTTTTGCTGCTTCTGATGGTATTGTGTTGGAGAACTTGGGTGCAAGGTTTCTTAATGATGTCCAAGTTCCAGAGGTAAAAAGCTTGGATAGTGTTCCTTGATTTTTTAAAGGACTAAACTGTTTTCCTCGCCTTGTGGTTCTATTTTGTTGAAAACCCCAATGCTGGGTTCTACTTTCATTCCACCAATTGCCTTGTCCAAATTTAGATGTTCTAGTTTTCCATCTTTCTGTTTCCCTAATATAACGGCAGATACTTGGGTTTAAGGCAAACAAGGTTCCCTTTTAAAGCGCGATCTTTTGGTCTATGATGTAATGCTATGTTACACTGGACTTCACTTCCCTTTTTCACAATGTTGTACGATAAGCATGCTTTGTAATTTTTGCAGGCTAGAGCATTTTATGGATTTCAGATTGCAATGGAGAACATTCATTCTGGTGAAACTCTCTTTAAACACTTAGTTGATTTGAATACTGACATGGACTAATAGGAACTTGACATGGAACTTCATGTGTCATTTATTTTTCAGAAATGTACAGTTTGCTTCTGGAGACTTACATCAAGGACCCAAGTGAGAAACATAGATTGTTTAACGCCGTAGAAAACATTCCTTGTGTGGCCAGGATGGCTAAGTGGGCGTTGGATTGGATCAACAGGTACTGTTCTCTCCTTTTTGGGTTTGATTAGTGCACCTAACGATTGAAGATTCATAGTAGAAAGATCTAGTAAGAATTAATTAGATCGAGTAAGAATAAATTACTCCCTTTTCCCCTTCTTTTTTCATGCTTTGGACAAACCTATGTTTTAATACTTCTTTATTCTTATTTAATCTGCAGTTCCAATTCTGTGTTAGTCTCTGACTACTACTTTTTTTTGTTTTTTTTTGTTAAGGGTGATATAGGTTTGCTTTTTATAGTTTAGACACTACTTAAGGGACTACTTCTAACATGTGGATTCAACAACTTCCATATTGAAATATATGCTATGGTGGGATGAGCTGGTAAATGTGACATGATTTTGTTCTTATCTTAGTTCAAAGACATTTTTGTAATCAGGCCTCTTGACTATAGACTTTGTGCATCAATTTCCTTTCCCTTGGCATGTTGCCTTCAGTCTTATCGATTGTGTCACTTTAGGCATGTAAGGTTAGGTGCAGTAAGTTTGAAAGATTTGTCCTTCTTACCTCACCTTGTTTTTCTGTGTTCCTTTTCGACCTTGCAGGGGGAAAACAAACTTCTTCGAGAAAAGGGTAGGGGAGTACCAGAAGGCATATGTCATGTCAAGTGTTGTGTTTTATAGACTTTTGATCCTGGATATAAATGAGCACTAGCGGAAGCAAACCCAATATGAAATCTAACAAGAAAATAGAGAAGAGAATGAACAAAGACAAAACACCAATTTTACGTGGAAAACCCTCCAAAGAGGAGGGAGAAAAACCACGGGCTGGACAAGCCAGTAAATCCACTATGATCAAAGAATAATCTTCAACGTACAAAGTTGTGGAGTAAGTAGAAAACTCCCAACATAAAAGAAAAGTACTGTGGTCATTAATTTTCATAACCCCAAGTAACCTCAAGTGTCTTCCATAACTCCAAGTCTTGGAATTAATTTGAGGCATCAATACCAACAATCTCCACCTTGAATCAAATTTAGAAAGACTTGTCCAGAAACCCTTGAGAGGTAATCAAGCTCTTCGAATTCCAACTAAGTTCAAACAACGATCAAACTTAGTTGAAGGAAGAACTTTAGTGAGCATATCTGCAGGATTGTTGTCAGTATGAACTTTCTTCACACTAATATCACCTGCAACCATAACATCTCGGACAAAGTGGTACTTGACTTCTATATGTTTTGTCTTCGCATGATACATGTCATTTTTAGTCAAGTGAATGGCACTTTGACTATCCGAAAATACGGTTGAAACAGTTTGTTCAACTCCAAGCTCAATAACTAGGCCACGTAACCAAATAGCCTCTTTAACCCCCTCAAATATAGCAACATACTCTGCTTCTGTAGTTGACAAAGCAGTTACGGGTTGCAAGCAAGATTTCCAGCTAACACATGAATTGCAGAGAGTGAAAACATATCCAGAAATAGACTTCTGTTTATCTAAGTCACCTGCAAAATCAGAATCTGTGAAGCCTATAATATTGTTGGAAGGATCTTCACTCCTCTCAAACAATAGACCCATATCACGGCTTCCCTTCAAATACCGAAGTATCCACTTCACAGCATTTCAATGTTTTTTTCCTGGATTTTGCATATACCTGCTGACAACACTTACTGCATGTTATAAACGCGCTGCTACGGATCGGGAAATCGCTGGAATCGACAAAGCAAGAATACGAAAGCGGGAATCGAAAAACACAGACACACAATTTACGTGGTTCACTAACACGATGTGTGTTAGCTACGTCCACGGGCGAGAGAGAGACAGTTTCACTATATCGAGGAGATTACAGATTACAGAGGAGTATGAGAAGTATTTATAGTACTTCTCCATGTGGGTCTAAACCTAATCTAATCTGACAAAGGAAACGGTTACAGACCAGGCCCAGAACCCGAACCCAAATAACATTGAGCCCATACACCGTGGGCCGGGGGCGTTGGCCCCGCACCCCCACCAGGGCGTTGCGGCTGATAGTCCGATTCAAGTCACATCAACAAATCTCCACCTTGACTTGAATCCTCTTCCTCTGAAATCTCTGATGTACTCTGCTCCTTCTCTCTCTCCCACAATCAATGCCCCGTAGGGCGGAGTCACCCACTCAAGACATTCAGCAAGTCCAAGCAGTGTTGGAACTTGCCATGTGGAACCGGCTTCGTGAACATATCAGCAGGATTATCCGCGGTGCCAACCTTCTTCACCTTAATCCTCTTCTCTGTCCTCAAGAAATGATACCTCACATCGATGTGCTTAGTCCTCTCATGGTGGACTTGATCCTTGGCCAAGCATATTGCACTCAAACTGTCGCAATACACCACTGCCTGATCATGATGTAGACCCAGATCACCAACCAGTCCCTTCAACCATATTCCCTCCTTAGCAGCTTCTGTCAACGCCATATACTCTGCCTCAGTAGTAGACAATGTCACCGCCGACTGCAGAGTTGCCTTCCATCTCACTACAGAACTCCCAAGAGTGAATACATAACCGGTCATCAATCTCCTCGTGTCAACATCTCCAGCATAGTCCGAGTCAGAATACCCAGACACCAAGCACTCTGTATCACTTCCGAAGCTAATCCCCACATCAGGTGTACCCTTAAGGTACCGGAAGATCCTCTTCATAGCCTGCCAATGCTCCTTCCCAGGTTGTATCATAAACCTGCTGACAACACTAACAGCATGTGCAAGATCAGGTCTAGTGCATACCATATCGTACATCAAGCTACCTACTGCACTAGCATATGGGACTCTCGACATGTACTCCTTCTCAACCTCTGACTGCGGTGCATAAGCTGAGGATAGATGAACATTTGAAGCACTAGGAGTATTTAAGGGCTTTGCTGAAGACATGCCAAACCTCGACAATATCTTCTGGATGTAGCTCTTCTCTGACAAGAAAAGCTTCTTCTTCGACCTGTCCCTGTAAATCTCCATATCCAAGATCTTCTGAGCATCTCCCAAATCCTTCATCTCAAACTCAGCACTGAGAAGCCCCTTTAACTTCTGGATATCAGACTTTGACCTTGCAGCTATGAGCATATCATCCACATACAGAACTAGATATATCATCGAACCATCCTCTGCCTTGCTGTGATATACACAACAATCATATGGACTTCTGTTGTAGCCCAGCTCAAGCATGTAACTGTCAAATCTCTTGTACCACTGCCTCGGAGATTGCTTAAGTCCATACAAGGACTTCTTCAACTTACAAACATAGTCTTCTTTTCCCGGAACCTCGAATCCTTCTGGCTGAGTCATGTAAATTTCTTCTTCCAACTCTCCATGTAGGAAAGCTGTCTTCACGTCTAGCTGCTCGAGCTCCAAGTCATAATGTGCCACTATTGCTAGTAGCACTCTGATCGAAGTATGTCTGACCACTGGTGAGAAAATCTCATTGTAGTCAACTCCTTCCCTCTGCGAGAAGCCTCGTGCAACCACCCAAGCTTTAAATTTCATGCCCTCTTTAGAAGTGATTCCATCCTTCTTCTTGTAGATCCACTTGTTTGTAACAATCTTCCTTCCCTGTGGTCGTTTGACTAGCTCCCAAGTCTGATTCCTGTCATGGGATTCCATCTCATCTCCCATTGCGGCAAGCCACTGATCAGCTTCACCACCTGAAACTGCTTCTCTATAGGATTGTGGCTCTCCTGCATCCACTTTCTCAGCAACCTGAAATGAATACGCCACCATGTCCTCGAAGCCATACCTCTGTGGAGGTACTCCTGCAGTCGTTCTCTTCGGTCTACCGGAAGCAATAGACTGTTGAGCTCGTGCACTGGACTCTGAAGTTTCTGGCTCTGCAGAGACATCCTCATCATGTTGATCTTCTCCACCTTGGTGCTCAAACTCACTCTCATTGAGAGTTTGCAGCTCCACCTGCTTATCAACATTCATGCTACCTTCATCAACAGTAACCTTCAACATGGGGTTAAACATAGACTTCTCATCAAATATCACATTTCTACTAAGTATAACTCGATGCTCAGAAGGTGACCAGACTCGAAATCCCTTAACTCCATCTCCGTAACCCACAAATACACCCTTCTTTGCCCTTGGGTTCATTTTACCCTCATCCACGTGATAATAAACAGGACACCCAAAAACTTTCAGTGAAGAGTAATCAGCAGGCTTACCATACCACACTTCATAAGGAGTCTTACACTCGATACCTGTGTGTGGTCCACGGTTGATCAGGAAGCACGCCATGTTTACTGCTTCTTCCCAGAATCTTCTCTCTAGTCCAGCATTAGAGAGCATGCACCGTGCTCTCTCCAACAATGTCTGGTTCATCCTTTCTGCAACGCCATTCTGCTGGGGTGTATCTCTAACAGTCCGATGACGGGCAATCCCTTCATCCTTGCAGAATTCGTTGAACTCAGAACTGCAGAACTCCATACCATTGTCCGTTCGCAGCTTCTTGATCTTCTTACCGGTCTGATTCTCCACCAATGTCTTCCACTGCTTGAACTTCGTGAAAGCCTCACTTTTCTGCTTCATCATGAAAATCAAAGTAAATCTCGAATAATCATCAATAATAGACAGAAAATACCTGCTGCCTCCAATGGATTCAACTCGTGAAGGACCCCAACAATCGGAGTGGAGGTAATCCAGTATCCCCTTCGTCCGGTGGATACCCTTCTTGGGAAACTTGGTGCGATGTAGCTTCCCAAACACACAATGCTCACAGAATTCCAAATTCTGCACCTTGTGCCCGCAAAGAAGATCCCTCTTTGATAGAACTTGCATCCCCCGTTCACTCATATGCCCCAGTCTCATGTGCTAGAGAGTGGTCATATCTTCCTGTTGAACCTGAGACGATGCAACTGCAGCAGAACCAGACAACACAGACCCTTGTAATGCATACAAGGTCCCACACTTCACGCCCTTCAGTACCTTCCTCGAACCCTTGCAGACATACACAACTCCACCTTTTCCTTTGAAGCTGAAACCCTTGCTGTCGAGTAGACTCAAGGAGATCAGGTTCTTTGTCATTCGTGGAACATGCCTGACATCATTCACGGTACAGAATGAACCATCATGTGTCCGAACCTTTATGGACCCGATTCCAACAACCTTGCAGACAGCTCCATTAGCCATGACCACGTTACCACCATCTATCTGCTCGTAGGTTGTGAAGCAATCCCTGTTCGGAGACATATGATATGAGGCTGCAGTATCCAGAAACCACACATCACCACGATGTGCCTTCTCATCTACAGCCAAGGCGAGATCGTCTTCAGAACTGTTGTCCACTTCTGCCACGGCAACTGAACCTTGTTTCTTCTGTTGCCCTCTTCTCTTGGGACAGTTGTACTTCCAATGCCCCACTTCCTTACAGTTGTGACAAGCATCACCTGGCTGTGGACCGGGACCCTTGGAATTCTTGCTCGAATTCCCTTTACCAGATTTCTTCTTTCCCTTTCCACCTGTAACAGCCAAACCCGATGCCTTACCAACTATACCAGATCCGGACGCCTTATGTCTGATCTCTCTCGTATGAAGAGCAGACCTGACATCCTCCAACGATACGCTTTCTTTACCAGCAATAAAAGAATCAACGAAATTCTCATATGAACTCGGCAAAGAAACCAGCAGGACTAGGGCAGCATCCTCGCCATCAACTTGAACATCTATATTACGCAAGAATACGAAAGCGGGAATCGAAAACACAGACACACGATTTACGTGGTTCACTAACACGATGTGTGTTAGCTACGTCCACGGGCGAGAGAGAGCCAGTTTCACTATATCGAGGAGATTACAGATTACAGAGGAGTATGAGAAGTATTTATAGTACTTCTCCATGTGGGTCTAAACCTAATCCAATCTGACAAAGGAAACGGTTACAGACCAGGCCTAGAACCCGAACCCAAATAACATTGAGCCCATACACCGTGGAAACGGTTACAGACCAGGCCCAGAAGTATTTAACAGCGAGACCCCCGATTACCAGTCGTAGCGGCTGATAGTCCGATTCAAGTCACATCAACACTGCATATGCAAGATCGGGTCTTGTGCAAACCAGAGCATACATCAAACTGCCAACTGCACTCGAATATGGAACGCTAGACATATAATTCACTTCTTCATTTGTTGTTGGACAATAAGCAGCAGATAACTTGAAATGAGCAGTGAGAGGAGTAGAAGTGGGCTTACAATCAATCATTCTGAACCTTTGAAGTACCTTATCAATGTACTTTATTTGGTTCAAAAATAATTTACCAGCTTGTCGATCTCTTTGGATCTCCATACCTAAAATCCTCTTTGCTGCTCCAAGGTCCTTCATCTCAAATTCTCCTTTTAGTTGTGACTTAACCTTTCGACCAACATTCTGTTCTTAGAAGCAATAAGCATGTCATCAACATAAAGAAGTAGATAAATGTAGGAGTCCTCGGGAAATTTTTGGAAGTATACACAATTATCAAATTGACTTCGTGTATAACCATTTCCAATCATAAAAGTACCAAAACGCTTATACCATTGTCTAGGAGCTTGCTTTAGACCATATAATGATTTTCTCAAGCGACAAACCATATGCTCCTTTCCTGGAATCACAAAGCCTTTTGGTTGCTTCATGTATATCTCCTCCTCGAGATCACCATGAAGGAAAGCAGTTTTCACATCAAGTTGCTCTAACTCCAAATCAAAGAGAGCAACAAAAGAGAGCAAAATTCTTATGGAAGTGTGACGCACAACAGGAGAAAAGATTTCATTGAAATCAATACCTTCACGTTGGTTGCAGCCGCGAACAACCAACCACGCCCTCCATCTTGCCTCTTCAATACCGGGAATTCCTTCTTTCTTTTTGTATATCCACTTATTTGAAAGTGCTTTCTTCCCCGTAGGAAGGATACATAATTCCCATGTATTATTCTTCAACAAACTTTCGTTTTCTTCATTCATTGCCGCAAGCCATTTAGATGAATCTACACAAGATATAGCTTCTTTGAAAGAAGAAGCCTCAATTTCTTCTGAAATTTCTTGTGCAACGGCGAGAGCATACGCAACAAGCTCATCATCTCTATATCGAGCAGGTTTTTGTATAACTCTCCTTGGCCGATCTCGAGCCAAGATATAATCTTGTGGCACTTGAGGTGGCATTTCCTCATTTTGAACTTCACTAGGATTTAACTCTGGAGAAGATAGATGGGTAGGTGAATCAACTTGTTGTTCGAACTCCACCTTGTCTCTTGGAGTCTCAAAATTTTCTGCATCATGGGACGAAGAAGTACCATCTTTGGCAGAAAATAAGGCATCTTCATTAAATGTAACATCTCTACTTTGAATAACCTTGTGAGATTCAACACACCAAAAACGATAGCCTTTTGACTCCATAGAATATCCCAGAAATAAACACCTTTTAGCTCTTGGAGAGAGCTTACCCTCATTGACATGATAATATGATGGGCAACCAAATATTCTTAATTTGGAATAATCAACTGGTTTACCTGTCCAAATTTCTTCTAGAATTTTATAATCCAACGACTTATGTGGAGAACGGTTGATTAAATAACAAGCTGTGGCTGCCGCTTCTGCCCATAAATCACGTCTATGTCATAAACCTGCATTTGACATCATACACCGAGTCCTTTCGAGAATTGTTCTGTTTAAGTCTTTCGGCAACACCATTTTGCTGAGGTGTTTGAACTAGAGTTTTGTGTCTTCCGATTCCATGTGAGGAACAAAATTCATTAAATGCATTTTCACAGAATTCCAATCCATTGTCAGTTCTAAGCTTCTTAACTTTCCTTCCTGATTGAGTTTCAACTAGCACTTTCCACTTTTTAAATGCAGAGAAGGCTTCATTTTTGTGCCATAAGAAATAAACCCAAACTTTACGAGAGAAATCATCAATAATTGTCATCATGTATCTACGACCTCCTATGGAAGGAAATTTAGAGGGTCCCCATAAATCCGAGTGAATATAATCAAGCACCCCATTGGCACTATGGGAAGCAGGAGAGAAACTGACCTTTTTCTTCTTCCCGAAGATACAATGTTCACAAAAGTCAAGTTTCCCAAAATTTTGGTTCCCCAATAGTCATCTCTTGCTTAGAACTGTCATTGGCTTTTCACCCATATGTCCTAGCCACATATGCCATAATTGAGTATTATGCGAATCAAGCAGCGAGGTAGAAATATCTGCTGAACCTGTAACAACAGAACCTTGCAGGACATATATCATACCAATGCGGTTAGCTTTCATCAGAACAAGAGAACCTCTAGATACCTTAAGAACTCCACCTTCAGCTCCATATCTGCACCCAAGAGACTCGAGGGTGCCTAAAGAAATAAGATTTCGCTTCATGTCAGGAACATAGCGAACATCAGAAAGAGTTCTGACAACCCCATCATGAAGACGCATTTCAATTGTACCAATACCAAGAACTTTGCAAGGATCATCATTTCCCATTAGCACAACACCAGAATTCACAGGTTTAAGTGTTTTGAACCAGTTCTTATTGGAACAAATATGAAAAGTGCATGCAGAATCAAGGACCCAAACATCCGAATTATTGCCATCGTAAGAAGAAATTGTTGCCAAACCTTCACCATGAGAATCGTCATTGACGATACTAGCTTCTCCGGCTTCAGAAGCCTTTTGAGATTGCTTTTTCTTTTCTTCTTTGGCCTTTAATTTGAAACAATTAGAAATTTCATGACCAGTTTTGCGACAATAGCGACAGTACTTCCCATCATCAGATTTTCGACCATGTGACTTGGATCGAGCTTTACCTTTACCTTTGCTTGATTCCCCCTTTTCCTTGGATCTTCCTCTTATAAATAGACCTTCACCTTTGTCATTAGAACTGGACTCAAAGTCAAATTTTTCTTTTGACAGTAAGTTAGATTTTACATCTTCATAAGACAAAGTATCCATATTTCCATAGAGCATGATCTCTTTAAAGTGTTTAAGGGATTGGGGCAATGAGCATATTAATAAAACAGCTTTATCCTCATCTTCAATTTCACGTCAATATTTTCCAAGTCCATAACAATGGAATTGAAGGTAGAAAGATGGGTTTGAATTGGAGTACCTTCAGCCATACGAGTAGTGTACAACTTCTCTTTTAGACGAAGCTTGTTAGCGAGACTTTTCGTCATGTAAAGTGACTCTAATTTTGTCCAAAGTCCAATTGCAGTTGTCTCACTCACCACCTCCTGCAAAACCGATTTTGACAGGCATAATTGAATAGCAGTAAGAGCCTTTTCATCGAGCTCTTCCCATTGGACATCAGTCAAGGTCTCTGGTTTGGCTTCGAGACCAAGTAAAGCCTTTTGAACACCATTCTGTGTCAAAATTGCCTTCATTTGAATTCTCCATATCGAGAATGATATCTTGCCATCAAACTTCTCAATGTCAAACTTTGCAGTCATCTTGTCGAGGATTTCAATTGGTTGTCAAGGGCTCTGATACCACTTGTTGTCTTTTATAGACTTTTGATCCTGGATATAAATGAGCACTAGCGGAAGCAAACCCAATATGAAATCTAACAAGAAAATAGAGAAGAGAATGAACAAAAACAAGACACCAATTTTACGTGGAAAACCCTCCAAAGAGGAGGGAGAAAAACCACGGGCTGGACAAGCCAGTAAATCCACTATGATCAAAGAATAATCTTCAACGTACAAAGTTGTGGAGTAAGTAGAAAACTCCCAACATAAAAGAAAAGTACTCAAGAAGATATTCTACACTTTAGGTGAATAAAGGAGTTGGATGGAATTGGTGTCTATTCAACAACAATAGACTCTCTATTTATAGCCATGTAAAATGGCTTATGAGATGCCAAAGAAAAGGTGAACGACACTCCCATTAACCAAATGGAAACTCCACATAATTAACTCCATGTGGTCATTAATTTTCATAACTCCAAGTAACCTCAAGTATCTTCCATAACTCCAAGTCTTGGAATTAATTTGAGGCATCAATACCAACATCAAGTCTTCAAGATGCGGGGAAGAACTTCGTCTTCAACATGGATGAGGAGTTCTAATCTAAAGCAAATCACAGTTTTATCTCAAATCTAGTATCTGCATGCCATCAAGTGTATAGCTCCCCATTCATGGTTACAGGCTTCTGTCTATACCCTACTTATATTTACAGTCACTTCTAAACTGGCATATGATGTTAAGCCATCTGTTAGTTCCTCTTGCATTATTTTTGCACACCTCTCATGTCGTTTTAGATGACAGTTAGAAGGTGAGAGGTCTTTATATGCAAGTATACTATACATAATATAATGCACTTTTAAGTCACCACTCCTCACCATGATTGTGTTCAATGTGCAATGATACTGCTACAGCTAATTATGTGCACTAAGCGGCTGATCTTTCACCTTTGAGAATCTGTGGTTATTTATTAGAAATTGGATAAAGAAGCATATAAATAAACTAGTCATTTGTCCAGGTGTCTGTCTGACTTCTCTTTTGGTTCTACATGAATGGCTAATGCATTTGGCTGTGTACAAATAAGAATATTGAATATTTCACCTGTCACTCTGTTGAAATTTGAAAAGGGAAAGGATGGATTGGGTTAATTTATTCAATTTGATAACGGTTAAGCCTAAACCTGCTGTGGAGTCACAGAAGCAAGACTTGGCCAGCCTCATTTTCCTTGCCATTTGCTTCTGGTGGCCAATGAGAGTGGACTTATTTTTCCCTGTTCTGTTAGGTAGGGCATTGAAGTCCTTTCCCCAAGTTGTATTTGATGTTAAGTGGCTAAAACACTAAGAGAGGAAATGAGCTTTCATGATGTGGATAGGCTAATGTAATGATTTCCAGTTCATCTTAGTTAATCATTAAACTAGAGGTGGGCTTTGATGAAATATACTAATTTTCTATTAGCCTGTGCTAAGGCTAATTAATCATTTATCTTTTCATAATTGTAAAATGCAATCATTATGTGTCCTTCCAAGTTCTCTATTTTGTCAATTGTCACCCTTTTGAGCTTAGCTTATTATATGGATCAATCCAGCTAGCTCTGCTGATAGTGATCAGAGCTTCGCACATGGTGACACCAACGGATTGCATTTGCTCGCGATTTCAGCCGTTAGATCGATGTCAGTTGAACCCAGGACTTCAAATTTTGGACATGAGAGAAGAGTTTTGAGCCATGTGGTTTGATGTCTGTCATGTTTCTCAGCTCTGGAAATGAGGCAAAGTCAGACAACCATTGTTTTTGTTTTCGTTTCTCATTTATGTAAGATTTCTAGGAGATTAGAATATGATGTTACATGTAACACGCACAGCAAATCATGTTGGCTTGCCTTTGCCGCTTGATATAGTTGGTGAGGCATCTCTTTAAACAAACAATAACCTGCAGCTGCAGGTATGTAAAATATTACCTGATATGTTTCTTTTATTTTAATCCATCACTTTCCAATCTTAAAACCAAAGGGAGTGGCAGGTGGGAACTAGGAATCAGGAAAGTAGGTGCATTAGGAAACCGCGGGAAGTTGGATTTTTTTGTTTTCGATCTATCTCATTATTGCAGGTAACGATTTGATTGTAAATTAAATCGAATCAAATTAAAATGAATCGAGTATTGTAATCGAATCAAAAGTTGCATTTCAATCCATTTGTTTTGGTTCAAATAACACTTTTATTTATCGTTTAAGTTTTATTCGACTTGTTATTAATAGAATTGACCCTGACTATTGACCTTAACAACCTCTTTCTTAGCTTTCTTTCCCTTTTCCCCCTTTGTTTCGGCTACCGTGTTAAGGACACTTGACAATTACCTCACAATTAGAGGTGGCAACTGGATTGATCCATGGATTGGTGGATTCATGGATTGGATCAAGTGGATTGGTGGATTATCCATGAATCCAAATGACATCCTCAACCAAGGACCAATATGTAAAATGTAAAAAGTTTAGGTACTAAAATGTCATAATGAAAAATTTTAGGTACGAAAACGTAATTTTCCAATGATATTTTTCGTATAAAAAATTAAATTTTGGGTACCAAAATGTAAAATATAAAAAGTATAGGTACCAAACCATAATTTGTTATTTGGATCAAATGGATTGGATTTAACTGGATTGGATTAGGTGGATATTTTTAATAGATTGGTGGATTGGATTGATAATTGACACCTCTACTCACAATCATATATCCGGCCAACTTAAGATCTCCCCCACAAAGCTCATAGGCACTTCATACTGCTGTTGTCGTGCAGATGATTAAGCCAATCTAACAACTTAGACATCATTGATAGCTATTGTCAATATGAGAATTCTCATCTCTAAATCTGGGGCCGTTTGGATGATAGATTTCGAAAATAAGATAATGCACCGAAATTCTTCAAAATTGTATCATTTTATAAATACTACATAATTTCATGCTCCCTGTCAATTCATTTTGTGTTACCAAACGAGACAATTTGACCCAATTGTTTAATTTTGAAACAATTTAACAAAACTATTCCATTTTGAGACAATTTAACCAAATTATTCTATGACTCTATCCAATTCTAAAGTCCAATCGAACCTGAATTCCAGCCACAAGTACAAACTCAAAAGGTTGGTAAGTTGGTGGGTCTTGTAGAGACTGGAGAGGTCAGAGGAGTGGAAGGTAGAGTAGCCATACAAGCTAGTTTGGTGAGATGGGTTTGGACCACCAACACCATCTCCATCTCTTAGGAGGTTGAAAAGGTTTGTTGTTCATGGACCCATTAGATGGAGTAGCACATAAAAAAAGAGTTCAACACAACAAAAAAAAAAAAAAATACTGAATCCCAGAAGATTGAACAAATCAACAACCTTCTTTACAACTAGTGGCCTCTCCCCCTCCCTCACCTACCACAAAAACCTCATCAATCATCATTCATTCAGCAAGCACAATGACAATAGGACAAAAGAGAATGAATGAATGAACAAAAAAGAGCCAAACAATCCCCACCACTTGCTTGCTGTGCCTGGAAGAGGCCAAGGCCAGAAATTGGGGGCTTCCGCCCAATTGACAATACTATACTAGCCAAAATGTGGACCCACACCATGAAAATTACAACCAAAACAAACACAAATTCATAAATTATGTAACAAGATCCCAACTTTCATGTCCCCCTCATCCCACTACTCCGTTGTCCAGCCATACCTAAACCCACAACTAGGTATCATCTAGCTGCGGCAGGATGCTTGCTCGATGATAAACTGAAAATTTTCAGCATTGGTTTCAATAATTTGAATTGTTCGGAGATAAATCAAAAAGAAAGTCAATTTATGAGTTTGAAATTTGCACATGCCCATTATACTATGCAATAACTCTGTTACCATGTAATAAACCAACCGATCTCAATAACTCAAGTTGTTGAAAAATGTCCAGGTATGGAGTTTAACTCAAGTTCTTACACACTCCCTTAAATGAAAGCAATTTATGGGCTTGAAATTTGCACAGACCCGTCATACCATGTGTTTTAATTAACTGTTAATATTATGGTTGGAGATTCGAACATACGACCACTTGGCCAAACCAGCTCTGATACCATGTAAAAAACCATTTGATTCTTATAACTCGAGTTATTGAGAGAGTTTCATATATGGTACTTAATCGCTTCCTGCTTACACTTTGCATGATGCTTGCTTTGCCTATCTGGATGTTGGGAGTTGGAACCAGCTCTTCTTGTATCCCTTATTTTTTCTGTTGCTGAGAAGTTAGGTGCAAAATAATACACTAATCCGATTAATCATTCAGTAGTCAATAAACAAACATAGCATCAGGGTTATCAAACAAAAGGAATCAAAGTGAATATACAAAATGGGTAGAACAAAAAAAAATCAAATCTAGAAAATTGACCATTATGAATACAATTGAAGAGTTCGGTTGATCTCGTGACAAATATGAATACAATTGAAATTCTCAAGAAACATTCAACAAATGATTTATACCCTCGTCGATCGTCTTGCAAATAATTTAAGAAACGAGTTGTAGGAAGCTACCTAATTAACACCTAATTCACTAATGAGTATACTTAATATGCAAAAAAATTCTTACATGTTCGATCATATAATGATAGTATCTCATGGCTTTTTTGATGATTTTGAAAACACCATCATGACCCTCTCATTACGGTTCATCTAAACAGTTGTATCAAATCAACTAGTTATATGGATTTAATTGTGTATTTGACAAAATTATAATTATATCGTAAACTATTAATTTTATCGATTCGATGTCCGCTAAATATAATCCATGCAAACAAAACCAATTGAAAGTAGGATTGAGATAAATAAAAAATATTAATAATTCATAATTGAGTTATTTGAAAGATCTAACAAACCCAATCCACTTTCTTGTTATCACAACATTATTATCACTAGAGTTGATGTTGCCATGCCACCATCGCTGTCTTCATCTCCACCTACCCCTACCCACCATCACCATACCATATGCATCTAATTCTCACAAAGGCACAAATTGCCTCTTGGAAGCACAAACATGGGGAAAGCTAAAACATTTCACAAGGATAATCCCCTAAATATGTGTTTTTTATTAATTATATTTTTATATGAGCTCCCAATTTAGTGGTGGGCCAACCCCGATATAGAAGCTTTGGTTTGGTAGACATGGCCTAGGAGTGGGCCAATCCATTCATTCATTCACCTTTACCATTTTGCCCTTCAAGTTTCAACCATATTCTTTGGCAGTTAGTTGCCTAGAAGCCATAGGAAACCCATAAGCCTATAAGCCTGCTGTTAGATCCAATGGGAATGGATCTAAATCTAATTAGGGTGCCTCTCACTGTTTTTCTGTGCCATTTAAGTAAATCAATGGATTTCCTTATGCAATTCCTCCTTTTGTCCCTATAAAGCTTCGGTCTTTGACTTCAGTCATCAGTTCGAGAAAACCTCCCCAGCTCTTGTTATCATCCCTCCGGCAGAGAGCTCGAGTGAAAGCAGTTCGTTTCATAGTCAATACAGGCGAGAAACCCAGAAAGATTTGGTGCTCTGTTTTCCAAACACAAGAGACCAGAGAAAAGTTTCGAGCTTTCCCTTTCTGACAAAAGAAAAGGAAAAGCTTTTTGGACTCTCGTTAGCCGGGGAATGAATGGCTGCCCCGCTGACCATGTGGGACGGGGTTCTGGAGATAACCCAGATGGCGCAAGCGAAGGTCGGCGATCCTCTGCTCTGGGCTCTGCAAATATCGTCCAATCTGAGCTCGCATGGCATCTCTTTGCCTTCCCCTGAGCTCGCGAGTGTATTGGTTTCTTACATTTGTTGGGACAACAATGTTCCCATTATGTGGAAGTTCCTCGAG